GTGTGTGTGTGTGTGTGTGTGTGTGTGTGTGTATGCGCGCAAGCAGGGGAGAGGCAGGGAGAGAGGGGACAAAGGATCCAAAGCAGGCCCTGCACTGACAACAGAGAGCCCAATGCAGGGCTCGAACTCATGAACCAGGAGATCATGACCTGAACCGAACTCGGATGCTTAACTTACTGAGCCACCCAGGAACCCTCTGTTTTGTTTTTTAAGTAGGCTCCAAACCTAGGGCAGGACCTGAACTTATAACCCCAAGATCAAGACCTGAGCTGAGATCAAGATTCAGATGCCCAACCAACTCAGCCACCCAGGCACCCCTAGTTTCCCTTACTGTTAAGATCTCATAGTATGGTACATTTGCTACAATTAACATACCCGTGTTGATGTATCATTATTTACTAAAGTCCATAGTTGATTCAGATTTCCTCAGCTTACCTAATGTCTCTTTGTGTCCCAGGACCCCATCCAGGACACTCTGTTGCATTCAGTCATCATATATATTCCTCAGGCTCCTCTTCTCTGACAGTTTCTCAGACTTTCCTCATTTTTGATGACCTTGACAGCTTTTTAAATTGTGATTTAAAAAAAAAAAAAAGCCCACACATAAAAATCTACCAACTTAACCATACTTAAGTGTACTGTCAGTAGCATTAAGCACATTCACACTGTTGTGCAACAGATCTCCAGAATGTTTTCATCTTGCAAAACTGAAACACTACACTCATAAACAACAACTTTCCCCCCTCCCCCCAGCCCCTGGTAACCACCATTCTACTTTGTGTTCCTATGAATTTGACCACTTGATTTATTTTTTAAGCTAATTTATTTAATTTTTTTAGTAATCTCTACACCTAATATGGGGCTTGAACTCATAACCCTAAGAGCAAGAGTTGCGCGTCTACCGACTGAGCCAGCCCCACACCCCTCAACTATTTTATTACCTCTTTTAGATATGGGATCATACAGTATTTAGCTTTTTGTGGCTGGCTTATTTCACGTATCATAATGTCCTCAAGGTTCACCCATGTTGCAGCCTGTGTCAGAATTTCCTTCCTTGTCAAGGCTGAGCACTATCCCATCATATGCATCCACCACGTTTAGTTTATATGTTCGTCCATCAGCAGACAGGGTGCTGCTCCCACCTTTTGTCTGTTGTGAACATAAGTAATTGGGAAACTGCCCTATTATTTTCCATAGCGGCCGTAGCATTTCACATTCCCACCAGCGGCGCACAGGGGCCCGCTTTTTCCACATCCTTGCCGACACCTGCAACTGTCTAGGAGATTTTGACAGGAGCCATCCCGGTGGGTGTGAGGGGGTATCACACTAGGGTTTTGACTTTCATTTCCCTGATGATCGGTGATGTTGAACATCTTTTCATGTGCTCGTGGGCCATTTGCGCATTTTCTGTGGAGAAATGTCCACTCAAGCCCTTGGTCCATATTTTTATCGCTAAGCAATAAATGCCTATGTCACAATTTATTTATCTGTTCTCCTGTGCATGGGCATTTGGTTTGTTACTACCAGTCTTGGCTATTGCACATAAAGCTGCTGTGAACATTTTTGCAGAGGTTTTTTGGTGGGTCTGTGTTCTCACTTCTCTTGGATAAATACTTTTTGTACATTTCTGTACTCACCAGAGCTTAGGACCTAGTTGGTACTAAAAAAAAAAAAGTGGGATAAAAAAAAGTGTGACTAAGTCACAGAACTAAGACCTCTGAGGTAGTAATAATCATTTCACATAATAAAGTTTCAATGTGGAGCATGAATACCAAAAGCACGGGCTGAATAAAAAGAAAGGACATCTGAGGTGGAGACTTAGTGATTCAGCTAAGAATTTTGAAAAAGGATAGGCTTTGAAGAAGAGCCAAAACATGGGGACAACCAGAAAACTTCCTCCTGCAAGGGACAGAGACTTCTCTCCCCCACGCTGACCGGATAGGGAGTCCTGGAGGGTGTCCGGCTGGAGTCACAACAGAGGGCCCAACACAGGGGAGGCAGGCCCAGCTAGAGCAAAGATTGCAATGCCCATAGTTTGTTAAGAGAGATTTTTTGTGATATTTTATAACTTGCCGAGGAGCATTAATACCCTTTGTCTTCTCCTCTCTAAATCCACTCCTGGTTTGCCACATGGAGAGAGTTTGTCCTGGCCAGGATAATCCAGAACAGGAGACAATCCAGCAACCTTTTCTCCTTGGCTCTAGAAATTGTTTGTGTGTAGTCGGGAAACCTGGGTTTCCGCCTTTAACTAGCCGAATGTGCTTTCATCTCAAAATTCCTTCCAGCTCTCAAATATTATTACCTAGCAACTACACTTCTTTCTGCAGATTTGTTTATTTTTAAATTTATTTTTAGCACTCTACATCCAAAGTAGGGCTCGAACTCACGACCGTGAAATCAAGAGTTGCATGCTCTACGGAGCCCCTGGGTGGCTCAGTTGGTTGAGCATCTGAATTTGGCTCAGGTCATGATCTTCCGTCTGTAGGTTCAAACCCCACATCAGGCTCTGTGCTGACAGCTCAGAGCCTGGAGCCTGCTTTGGATTTTGTGTCTCCCTCTCTCTTTGCCCCTCCCCTGCTCATGCTCTGTCTCTGTCTGTCTCTCAAAAAATAAAATGTTAAAAAAAAAAAAAAAAAGGAGCAGCATGCTCTTCTGACTGAGCCAGCCAGGCACCCCTGTTCAGGAAATTTTTTTTTTTTTCAATGTGTTCACCACAGAAAGTGAGAAAATACAACAAGGGAGCAGAAGCACATATAAAATCACTCATAATTTCATCACCCAGTGCTAACTCTTATTAACATACACTCGTTCGTATAAAAATATATGATGAGTGCCTGCCATGTACTGAGACATTTGAAATATATCTTTCTAGGCTATTTATATCTACATTTTAATGAAATCATCCTGCTTTATAACCTGCCTTTCACTCAAAAGACAGTTGTGAACATATTCCCATGTCAGTAAATACTTTCCCTACAGCGTTCCAGTTTTTCATTAATAAACATTCTCAGAGCTCAGTTTTGAACAAAGTCATAACCATTTTTTTAATGTTTGTTTATTTTTGAAAGAGAGACAGAGTGTGAGCGGTGGAGGGGTAGAGAGAGAGGGAGACACAGAATCCGAAGCAGGCTTCAGGCCCTGAGCTGTCAGCACAGAGCCTGACGCGGGGCTTGAACTCTCAAACCGTGAGATCATGACCTGAGCCGAAGTCAGACACTCAACCAACTGAGCCACCCAGGCATCCCAGTCATAACCATTTTTGAAACATAATTCCTAGAAATAGAATTACTAAATCAATTAGTAATCATGATTATGTGTTTGGGCAATGCCAAGCATCCGCAGCCTTTTTTTTACATCTTTCCACTCATGCGTACGCACTTAGCAGGTGGTAGAACTGTGCTGTCCATTACAGCAGGCATCAGACACCCAGGGTTATGTATGTTTAAGTTAAAGTTAATTAAAAAAAAACAAAATAAGCGATTCAGTTCCTCAACTGCAATAGCCACATTTCAAGCACTCAACAGGCATATGTTACTAATGGTTACTTCGATAGTGTGGAAACATTTATGTCATCACAGAAAGTTCTATTAGACATCACTGGTCCAGAATAATGTTCAATTGATGTTAATTATTGTTATTTTGGGGTGGAGAGATTTGGAGTAATTTTCCTTCTTATTGTATTTCTTGGCCCGTGACCATTTATCACTTTTGTTTTACATATATTATGTCTAAATGCTCTCTTCCCTTTGGAGGGCTAAACCTCATTCCCAGTGGCTGCCTGTGGATATTTCATTATGGGAAATCTCCAGAGTCCTTATGTCTAGTCATTGGTTTGAATTCAAATTTTCCCTCCCAGAGATAGAGTTCAAAAAAAGTTTTATTAAGAATCTTTATATAGAGGCACCTGGGTGGTTCAGTCAGTTGAGCATCCAACATTTGATTTTGGCTCAGGTCATGATCTCACAGTCACGAGATCAAGCCCCACCTTGGGCTTGGCAATGACCATGAAGCCTGCTTGAGATTCTCTCTCTCTCTCTCTCTCTCTCTCTCTCTCTCTCTCTCTCTCCCTCTGCCCCTCCCATCACTTGCACGTGCTATTAAAAAAAAAAAAAAGAACCTTTATATAAATTTACTTAAATATGCATAAAAAAATTCTGGAAAGATACATAATTAAGAACATTACTCACCTGCAGCATGTGGAGAGGGTGTCTCTGCAGATGAGGGCAAGAATGGGAAGATTTTCTATGTGAATGTATCACCTATTTAAACAAAGAGTAAAAATATATCTTTTTAAAAAATTATGCAAATAGCAAACAATTATTAAAAAAAGAAAGAAAAAAAAGTAGACAGTGAAACTCCTTTCCCTTAAGGTTACTGGCAGGTTAGTGAGAATCCTTCCAGGCTTATTAGAGACAATCACACATGATAACTTTATTATGTAAGTGGCTTGTGCACTCATTCCCTAGACATCACGGGAGTCCTACCTCCATCCCTGTTGGTAAGAATTTAAAAAGGGTTTCTAAAGCTCCTGGACTTTTTCCTCTCACCTCTCCAGGTGGTCCCTGAGAAGACTCCATGTCTCTTTTGAAAGCACTTGTAGCAGACCCATTTCCAGGTAATTGCAGAGCCAGTGCCAGTCATTAGCCAGTTGTGGGTTTGCCCCCCTTCCCCCCATCCACCCCCCTTGTAGACTTAGCCCCTTTGCTTTTCAACCTCTCCCTTCCTCAGCTGTTCCTTTGGCCACACCTTTCCAAGGCAGTGGGGGTGGAGGGAGTGAGGACCGTTTCCATAGTCCTGGGTGGAGTCTTGGTGTGGGAAAGAGCCAGATACATGGGGCACGAGCCACCTCCAGGTCCCCCGTCCTCCAGGAGGCTGGTAACAGCCCCTTAACTTACTCATCTTGCCCAACCTCTGTTCCAAGTCCACTCCCAACCCCCACCTTGCTGGACACATTTCTGAGACCTTACTTACTTCTTTGCATTTCTGTGATGGGTTTGCCCATGGACTTTGGAAAGTCCATTCTCCACTCCTTCACTGGTGCATCATCGTCCAGATCTTCACCAGGAGAGCAAGGGGGCACTTCCGGAGGACTGAACAGGCCTGGGGTCTGTGTAGGAAGGAGGTGGGGACACAGGATGTGAGTCATCTGCCAGCGTCTCTGATGCTCTTGGAGTTCACCACCCAGTGCCAGGACCAAATAGAGAAATCCCAGTTGTGGTGAGTGGTGGCCCCTGAGAGGCCCAGTAACCAGTCTAACTTCAAAGGCTGCTCTCCCGGCCACGCAAGACTGAAACCAGCGAATCCACAGAGACAGAAAGTAGATTAGTGGTTGCCAGGGACTAGGGTTGGGGGGATGGGAAGTGACTGTTAATGGGTACGGGGCTTCTTCCTGGAGTAATGAAAATGTTCTGACCTTGGACTGTGGTCACAGTTGCTCTGTGACTATACTAAAAATCACTTAAGTATCCACTTTAAAAGGGTGAGTTTTGTGAAATGTGAATTGTATCTCAATAAAAGTTAGAGGGTTGCAAATCTACTGAGATCTAACTGACACGCAATAGAAGGCACCCATTTTAATATAGAGTTCAACGATTTTGGGCAAAGACATCCATGCCACCACCACCTTCATCAAAATACAGAATATGTCCATCACCCCAGAAAGTAACCCTTTGCCCCTTCAGGAGTGTTTCAACAAAACTGAACACAATGCAAACCGTCAAAGTTCATCACACATAGTAAGGGTCTTAGTTCACAAAATTTATAGTTCGGTTATATTTAAAGAGACATGCACACACATTAGAAGGTTGTGGTGCGGGTCACAGTAAAAAAAAAATGTAAAAGTTCCCACTGAGACATGAAGAACCATGCAAGGCGCCGGGGGTGGTTGTAGAAGCGCTATGCACTCACTCCGATGGGAGCTATGTGCCGAGAATTCTGCTAAGCACTTAGGTGCACGACCTCATGCCTCATCGCCTCATTCCACAGATGGGAAAACCAAGGCTTCCCTCCCTGTACTGGCAGCTAGTTTTTACCTGATCCTAAAACGTACTCTTCCTAATGCCTTGGTTTCCTCTTGCTGGGCTTCTAACTCCCACTGACGTGTCCAGTCCTGGAGGGTCCAGACATATCTGTCAGCCAACCTCAGGTAACCCACTCAAGCACAGTGGAAACAAGAAGAGAGAAAAAAAGGCCTCCCGCACTGAGCTTGTAGTCTAGTAGGCAGCACCCAGCAGATGGCAAAAGCACCGAAGACAAGGTCACAGTGTCATGCTCCTCTGCGTAACCCTGGGTGTAACCCGGGGTGTGAGGCTCTTCCTTTGTGCCGTCACTGGGCACGTCGCCCGGTCGTTCTCTGGCGCAGGACTGGGCAGTCAGGCCGGGTGGAACCTGCAAGGCCCGGTCCGTTCTAAGTTGCCTGAGACCCACAGGGGTCTTAGGTGACACACACAGTCACCCTCCAGAACCCTGCGGAGTCCTCCAACCAAGCAACTGGCCACAGAGCAGCAGGGGCAGGATTCACAGCCTAGACTCTGTCATCAGTGTCTTTGCCCCTGAGCACGCCTCCATGATAACTGGTAGCCACCATCAGTCTCTCATTTCAAGAGTCAACAGAGAGCAGAGGCTGTACCTTCCAGTTAGCCCTAATTGATTTCACCCAAACGGAATGAGTGCTAATGAGCTTGTCTCAAGACCCAAACTCCTTCTGTCTTTACTAGATTCGCTGGCATTGGGAAATCTTCCGACCATTGGGACTGTCTTAAAACATGACTCTTCAACATCACTGCACCCAGCACACCCCCAGGGTCTGGAAAAGTCAGCAGACCCCCAACAGAGACCAGCTTTCATCCGAGGAGTAGCTAAAACCCTGGGGAGCCTCGGGGCCATGCAGGCCTACTCAGCGTGCTCACCTGGTCTCGCCAGCCCAGGGCCCGATGTGGAAGGAACTGGACTCAGACCTGGGTTTGGATCCCAGCCCTGTCACTTGTTAGCTATGTGACCTTGGACAATTAAACTAACCTCTCTGAACTTGTTTCCTCATCTCAAAAAAAAAAAAAAAAAAAAGTGAGGCTTGCAGCGTTCTTAGATAATGAGATCAAGGTATGCAGTCGGCACTTAATACATATCCGCTTGTCCTTCCCCTCCTCTTGCCTGCCAAGCACATTGACATTCTGCAGAGACAAGAACAGCCAAGCAACTTTCTCTTCTGGAGGATTTGTATCTTTGTCATTGTTTTTCCTGGAAGGGCACGAACAGGAAGCCTTGGACTGGCCAAGAGCGAGAACAACATAGCCCTGGCCCTTCGAAAACGTATTAAACTTAAGTTTCCATGGAGTCTTAACGGCCATGCGTTGTACTATGCACCCCGTGCGTTCACCTGGAAAACAGCCTCCTCCTCTCTCCGACTGTAGCGCCACCGAGAGGTCTGAGCCGCCATCCCCGCCCCGCCCTCACCTGGCCCCCACGACCGGCCTCGCGCTGCCTCCACTTCCGCTCGCTCTCGCTCTCTCCCAATGTGCTTCTCTCCAGGAGGCCCGTTCCCAAACTGCAAATGACATCACATCAGACGCCTGCTCTAGACCCTTCGTCGTCTTTCCGACAAAGCACACAGCCATCTGCCCACCGCCTACCTCTCTCCTTCCCTCCCCTCCCTCCCCACTTCGGACCGCGCCGTCCACAAGCGCTTTTCTTTTCCTCTGCGCGCGCACCAGTTCGTTCCAGCCTCAGGGCCCTGCAGCGGCCGCTGCCTCCACCTGGAGCTCGCTTCCTCCCGGTGGATGCTCCCTTCTCAATAATTAGGCTGGAGCTCCAGTGCCACCTGCTCAGAGACATCTTCTCTCGTCGTGGCGGCCGCACGGTCACATCTATCACTTCGTCCTGTTTTCATACTTGCACTTGTCACTACCTAAAGTTCTCTGGTGCCTTGTCTGTCTCATTCACCACGTGCCCCCCGCCCCCCCCCCCCCGGGG